GAGGATTCTGAAGGTTACAATTAGATCACTTCTAAGCCTACGACGCTCTAGGGAGAACAGACCCACTGCTCGCAGCCTTTCAGCGTACGTTAGTCTCCTTAGGAGAGGACACAGTACTCTAAGCGGGGTCGTACAAAAGCTTGATACAAAGGGACGAGGACCTCTGGGTCTCTGGAGGATACCGTTCTGCGCAGCTTGTACAGTGCTGCATTTGCTGTGCCAGCAGCTAGGCAGCACCGGCGTGAGGATGAGAACGTGGAATTTTCGGTGATCGCTAGATCCCTCACCTCGGTGCTTAGCTCGATTTCTTCGCTCGTAGATTCCCCTAGGTACCTACGCTTACCCACCGGTTCTCCCGTTCGCAGAAGTTTGCACTTGCCGCCTTTCAGAGGCAGGCTCCATTCTGTGGTCCATGTTTGTACTCTGTTTAGATCCCTTTGCATCTCTTCGTTGTCGGGAGAAACTAAAATTTTTGCATCATGGGCAAATAAGCACAGTGGGTTTGCTACACACCATGCCAAGTCGTTGATTAAGACCAAGCACAACAACGGTCCAAGGATGGAACCCTGAGGCACTCCGCTGTGCACTTGGCCTCCCTCAGAAAATTTACCGTTTACCCGGACTTGGGAGGTGCGACTTAGTAAATAACTCCGAAGCCAATTTCGCAGTTCAAGGTGCACTCCCAACTGTGATAATTTCATCATGAGTAGTCCGTGACTGACCGAGTCGAAGGACTTCCGGAAATCTAGGTAGCATACATTGACACGTTCACCCCTGTCAAGTCTGTCGGGTACTGCAACCAGGTAGGCTAACAGATTTGTCAGGCAAGTCCTACCCTGTGTGAATCCGTGCTGAGCTTCCGTCAGTAGGAAAAAATGACTAGTCATTTTGTCACGAATTACCCTTTCCATAACCTTTAGTACTACTGGGAGCAAGCTCACTGGCCCATAGTTTGAGGAGGCATCTCTCTCTCCCCCTTTTAGATAGTGGTGACTATGGCCGCTTTCCAGTCACTTGGGAGGGTAGCTGCCTCGAGTGACTTGGTAAATAGGTTGGCTAATGGACATGCTAAAATACTCTTCAGAGGTTATAGGATCGCTGGATGTATGTCATCTGGACCTGCAGATTTGTTTTTGTCTAACGCTTCGATATTTTTTCACTTCCTGCGGCTCGATTAGGAATTTATCCATAGAGCACTCCGTCGTGATACTGTGAGCCGGCAGGGCATTACCCAGATCTACAGTGTACGACTCTTCATAATGTTGTTGTAGAGCCGAAGCCTTTTCTAAGCTAGTGAGCCTTGGGTTGCCACCGACGTCACGGATACATCCGATAGCTTCCCAAGTTGCTGCCTTCCACTGTACATAACCGTAATATGCCTTCGGGCACATCTTACTCTTCTGTGCCAGTGCGAGCTCATAGAGTTTCTTTGAATCGGACTGAGCCTTATCGTAGGTCTTGAACTCGTTCAAGTACTGAAGGTATCTCGAGTAGCCGTTGGTGGCGGTGAACATCTTCCAGGCTGCCCGCTTTCTGCTCAGTAATTTAGCTAACCGTCGAGACCACCACCGTGGCTTATTGGGTCGTCCATTTGGAATTATTGGTGCAAAGGCGTCGACCAACAAGATGAGGTTCGTTTTATTTCGGTCCCAAGTCTCATGGACATCTGTCGCATCCTCCGGTCATTGGAGTTGTGACGCAACCAGAAGAAGACCCCAGTGTCTCATGCTCTTTGGCAGCGTCTGGGTTCTAGCCTCGGGGCTCGTAGACGACAGGCTTAACGGAAGCGGATAGTTGCGTGATCACTCCTGCCTAGCGGTGATCCTAGCTCTAAGTTCACGATTTCATTTAAGCCCTTGGTGAATACTAGGTCCAGGATACTGGGTGGGTTATCTGGTTTCCATCTCGTTGGGTGTTTGATGCGCTGAATCAGGGCTGAGTTTAGCACTAAGTCAAGCAACTTCTCTCCGAAACTACCGGATGGTGCGTTTTCCGTCTGCCAGTCGACCTCAGGATCATTTACGTCACCCAAAAGCCGAACCCTGCAGGCTTGACCCGCTACTTGCCTTAGGTAGGCGATCAACTGGTCATCCTCCTCTGTGGAGGACCGAAGACTACGGTATGTGCAAATTATTTCTACTTCGCTGTGGGGTTGTTTTAGCAAGCATCCAGTGGATTGAATGTTTGCTATCTCCAGGTTGATTACGGCTGTTTGTGTTAGGTGTTTCGATACCATTACTAGGGAATCACCTCCGATCCGACCACTAGTGCGATCACATTGATAGACCATGAATCCTGGTGGGTGCAATTCTGTGGTTTTGAAGTCTGGTTTCAGCCACGTTTTCGTGACTGCTATGCAAGTGGCCATTCCTGCTTCTGCTAGTATGTCGGGCCACTTGTTCATTAGGCCGCAGACATTGGTGTAGAGAACATCCAATGTCTGCACCGTGTGTTCCCTTAGTGGTAAAAGACTGCACCCAGGGCTTAGGCCCGGGAGCCCACCGAGTTTTCTGTCTCGGTTGTAGAGTCCTTCCTATGTGGACTCCCGCAGATCAGGGTTACGGCAATAGCAGGCACTGCTTTCGGCGTTGCTGTTTCGGTGTCAAAGTGGTCTAACAAAAATGTCGCTTCATTCGCGGAGAGCCCGGGTGTGCGGGCATTAAGGCTAGGTGAAATCTTTGGAGTGGAAGGTTGCACCCTTACGATCAGTCGCCTGGCGCAACCTGGTGAGGGTGATGGCACAATAGGTATACTCTTTCAGCTATTCGCATAATCAGAGACTACGGTGATTTTGCTTTTAATCAAGAGCTGCGCGTGGCCTGCTGCTGATAACATGGCATCCCGGTGTCTAGGGTTTTGGAACTCTACCAGCGTTGGTCTTGGGTTACCTTCGCTGACAACGTGAGAGGTTTCCCTCCATTGCCCCAGGCGCAGGATTCGCTTAATGTGAACATGCCCTGGGACATTACCAAGTGGTAAGATACTGAGTACCTGGTGGAGTAGGTCGCGTTTGCGCTTGCGCGCTTCCCGACAATGTGGTTCAGTCAGCCCTCTTATCACCACGTTGCGGTTTCTTCCGAAAGTTATGTCCCTGTTTGCTTCTAGTTTTCTTAAGACGCTGCCCAGCGAATTAGTGATTGTAGTTAATCGGTTTATTGAAGCCTCGTAGTCTTTGATTCTCTTATGGTGCCACTCGGATGTCGGTGCTGGTCCCTTATTGCATGGGCTTGGAAACTTCCTGGGAAGAATTATGAGAGGTTTGTTCGAACCTTTTGATGGGACTTACAATTTATGCTGATCGGAGTTCGGCGAGTGTGATGTGTGACACTGACCTCGAAATTCCGTGTACACTTTAAATGCATTGAATATGCATAGTATACGATTCGCATAAAATCCGTGTGCTATTCTATTCGAAGTTGTTCTATTTCGGGGATTGGTATTGCGCAAATTCTGGAATCCCATTTCGAATACTATTCCAAATACCACATTTGGCGTCGCCGCCAGTTTACTGAACAATGAATTCTACTTCACTAGAATCCCTTGATCTTAACTGCAGTGTACGCGATATCGAGGATTATTTTGAAAGTTTTGAGATTTGGTGGTTGACTCGTTCAGAGCCCGATGAGGAAAAGAAATCCGCTGTATTTTTGAATGCTGCCGGTAGAAATGCTTATTCAAAAACTTGGCTTATCCTTCTCTACCTATTTATGTACCGTACAATGATTTAAATTCCTTCCTCCTATAGCATGTGAAGCCAACGAACTTCGAAGCCTCAGAACGAGCAAAATTTCATTCAATGGTACGCAGTCCGAATCAGGGCATCCGTGAATCCATCCTAAATTTGCTCACTCAAGCTGCAAAGTGTGATTTTGGAGATTTACTGGACATGTAATTGAAAGATCGCCTGATCTTCGGCATTAACAATACCGTTTTGCAAAGTGAACTTCTGAAGGTATCCAATCCGACGCTCAAAGATGTGCGGGCTTATTGTGAACAATATCAGGACATTCTCGCCGCTACTTCATCCATGCCGTCCACCATTGAATCCACAGCCATGTTCAATTCACTCAAGACTAAATCCACGAAAGCTCATGCCACAGCCGGACGTTTCAAACCAGTTACACAATCTAACTCACACAATGTGACATATTCGGATAAATCCTATGGCAATTGTGCATCCTGTGGCAAACTTCATTCCTGATTCACTTGTGGATTTCGTTTCGCTTTATGTCATAAGTGTGGTAAAACTGGCCATATTCAGTCTGTTTGTCGCAGTACTGAAACCTGTCGTTTAATTCAAGCCCGGGACTCAGAAGTGAGTAATATGGCCAAACATTTTATTCTTTATCTTTGGCAATTACCTCCCATTCCGGTCACATCCATAAACGATTATTCAGTTCCACTTGTAATTCGCTTCATTTCATTTTGGACTCTGGTAGTGTGGAATCTCTAATTTCTGTTCACGATCTAAAAGTGTTTGCCCCAGATACTAAACTTTAGCCGTCCACTGTCACCATAAATGGTATCACTGGACACTCACACTCTGTTGTTGGTTCTTGTGAGATTTCAGTCAGTGATGAACATTCTAAAACGGTTACCTGTACATTCATTGTAATTAAAGCTGGCCCATCCATACTAGGCTTGAAAGCCATGCAAGCAATAAATGTCAATCTTTCCCTGCTAACCTCTATGGGTACTGAAAATGAATTGAAGGATTTGATTATTAAATGCTCAAAGGCCAGTGNCAGTGGTGGCATGAAAATTTCCCCAGTGAGACTACCAGTTAATGGAGATCCAGTATTTCTCAAACGCCGAGTCATTCCATATGGCCTTCACAAACCTGTCATGAATGCATTGAACAGGTCAGGTCAGGTCAGGTTAGGTTTCTAGGACGAAAACAGGCTTTCGC